AGTCTCCATCTTTTCTGCCTTTTTGCACTATTTTTGTTTTCTTCGTTCTTTCTTTTGACATCCAGGATCTCCATGTCTACTGTCAGCCTATACGAAATCATTCCTTCTGTACTGTTGTTATTCCCTACCTCCATACAGTATCAGAAATACCATAAATGCCTGCCTGCATCTTGCACTCCCTTCTCAGAGCCTCTCCCTGTCCCCTGTTCCTCAGAACACTTTCTGTACAGGCTGCATACCCTGCAATCTTCTCCTATTATCCCTTCCGCTATTCATTCAAGCTCTTGAAGCCCATCCAGTTTCTGCTCTATACTCTGGCTCTTTTTGCTGCCAGAAAATGGTCTAGTTCTCATATTTCTGGGCAAGGAAACAATCTCCATTTCCTATCTCACTTCCTGGATACCGTCTCACCATTAAATGCCTCTGTCCTTTATATTCGACCCCCCTTTCTCCTCAGTCCTAGCAGATCTTAAATTTCTGCTTTGCTTTCAGCCATTTAGAGGTTCAGGTATCACAGCATCATTTATCCTCAATGCATTTCTGCCTCTTTTATGTACAACTAATCCAACATCAAATATAGATAACCAACTTACCCCAAACTCCTCCCAGAGTACAGATTTATTGAGAGACAGCTCTTTCTAGACAAATTATTTACAGGTCAAGTTTCATTGTAGAATAAGGAATGACATTTCCCCCTGTATGGAAATCATTAACTCTCGAAGGTACACCTGAAAATCTCATTCAATAGCGCTTGGTGTTCTGCACTGTTTTGCATTTAAACCAAAAATAGAGATCTTCGTTAGTATGTTGGCCAGGTTAAAATCCTCAGAGAACTAGTAGTTATTTTCTCTGAATATCTTGTTTTTCCCCCATTTCCTCATTCATCTGTCAATGCTTGTTCCTTGTTGTAGATATCAAAGACCTTTTAAGTGATAACTGCTCTTTTGGTCTCTTCTACTTAGAGCCTTGTACATAATTTTGATCATCATTTCCTTCCCGTGTCCCAGGTCTCTAAAAGCAAGGTCAAGCTTCTCTTTCTTCTTTCTAGGAATGCCCACTTTACAGGTTACATACTTAACCTTAGGCTCAGAGGGTTAATTCTCTGCTAGATTTTTTTGAGATGTCAGAAGTCACAAGTGACCTAGCTGTCTGCTGCTTCTTTGGAAAAATTAATTACAGCAGTGTTTCCTTCAATTCTCCAATAAAGTAGCTGTATTCCTAGATATAGTATAACCTTTCATATTCAAGGGGAAAAAAAGAGCATTTCACTTAGGCTTACACTTAACTCCTCTAGTCTAGACTTCAAAGTGAGACTTTGTGAGATTCAGTAAGCACCAGTCCTGAGGGCTCCTAGTCTGAAAGTCACTGCAAAAGTATCTGAAAAGCAAAAAGGTTGGAATCTTCCCTTCCTCTCGGAACAAAGTTATGATGCATGATCAGCAACAGGCTAAAACAAAATAAATAAAAAAAAAAATCCAAAAGAAAAACAGTGATTAGAGAGTCCAGCCACATCATATCTAGCATATTAAGGGTCAAGATGTTACTTCTCAGTGAAGGCAAATTCTGCATTTTCCCCTAACAATTGCTGAAGAGATCTTTTCCAAACTGCCTTCATTATGGACAGATATTAATCTCAACTTCTTAGAAATGTGTCTGTAACAGTAACCAGGGATGAACCCTCTGTTATTTTTCAGTGCTGCCAATTCTACAGTTAGGATGGAAACCTGAAGATTAAACCTGCCCATCATTTGTACTCGTGATCACCGCTGCTCCTTGTTGCTCAGGATTACCCCCTTATCTTAGAGGCTGCTTCTTGTAGGTCACAAAAAGCAGAAAGGTCTCCAAATAAACCTGGTCAGAAAATTCCTTGCCTTCAGCCCTCTTCCTTTGCTTTGATATACCACCCGCGAGGAGAGGGAAGTAGTAATGTTGCTAGATGGTCTCTACAGCACGCACGCACTTCAAATTAAGTAATCCTCCCTGTGCCAGTTACTCTGTCAGGGGCCCAGCTACTGCCATTATTTTATAGCACAAAGTGGTTGTACTGCATTAAAGAGCATGACCGATTATTTTCATTACTATCTATATGGCATGTAGCATGCCGCTGCCAGCTTGTAAATTCTAAATGTTAAACAGTAGTTTTGATGATATTTTATTATTGGAAGAACAGTGTGCTCTTCTTGGAAACTTTTCCTCCTTCCCTCCCCTCCAAGACACCCATAAATGATTTCAGCCTTTTCAGGATAAGGATTTCAAAGTGCCCTTTCAATTAAAAACTATTTTTACTAGCTTGGATGGTAGTCTGGCTTTTTATAGTTCTATTTTGAGGACTATGGTAATCTGAGACTACAAGGGAGGGAATACCACTGGTTCTTCCAGCAGCTGGAGATGAAGCACATTCCAGGGTTAAATGGTTCTTGGCTAATACTTGCAGCGATTTTGTCTATAATTATTCTCAATGCCTGAGAAATGTCTGCATAAGTGGGAAGATTTTGTGGTTGTTCGGAGTTTTCTAAATTCCACTTGTTCCATTGTGTTACATCTGGGAGACTGCTAAAAAGGTGAAGATATAGCTGAAATTTGACATTTCGGAATACATGGCTGGTGCAGACTTTGAGGCGTAAAATTTGTGTGGTGCAATTAGAGAGAAAAAAGGTAGCTGGAATTCTTCCAGATGTGCCATCCTCATGCATATTACCATAGACATTCAAGATCAAACATTTTTCAGTTAGCAATATCTTTAGGACAGATGCACACATATCCTCTCTCCTCCTGCACCGAGCACAGGTATATAGCATGCATTATGCCTGCTCACTTGTGGAATCCCAAGAAATTAAAGAGACCCTGAAAGAGAGGAAGGAAAATAAATTATGAAAGTGCATATGGACAATGTATCTTGAAGACTGTTATTTACAGAGTGGACCTGTGCACAGACTGCCATGCTTATTGTGGGCCACAGGCACAGACAAAAGAAGAAAAGATTTAATCCTTTTCAAATAGAAGGACAAGGCTTGTTTGACATCCCAGGTGTGACATGATGTCCCTAGAAATGTAAAGTCTGTGAAAAAATACAAGCACGTTAATGTTTTGATTCCAGTGAAAATCTGATTTAGCATAGGTAGAAACTGTCAGAGAGAAAAAAAAATCAGTTTTTCACTTATTTTGTGAAAAAGTCTATATCCAGCTTTTTGCTTGGTTTTAAAACAAAACAAACAAACAACAACAAAAAAAAACCAAAAAAAACCAAACCCAAACTTTAATGTGGACCACTAGTGCCACAAAAATGAACTAAGCTAAACTCAGGCTAAGGAAGGCAGAAGAGAATAATAATTTAAGAAAAGTTTTGAAACTACATGGAACAAATCAAAACCCACAAAACCAAGTAAAACTCTGAGCAGTGTACCAGAAGTTACAATTCCTACTATCAAATTCCCACCTTGCTCTACTGCAGAATTACCCTCAACTCAGTTCAGTCAGTATAAATGAGGAAGATGATAGATAACTGAAATCATGACTTATATTTCTCCACCTTCCAACTGTTTGTTTTGTATGATTTCAAGTGATTTTGGCAAGACTCTGCCAAGCTTTTACATGAAATGCTCCATGAGAAGAGGGGAAACAATAGGTGAGGAATGTTTTCTGGGCTTATATATATATATATATGCTGAGCAGAGGTAGAGGGTGGATGACACTGAAAGGCCCTTCAGAAATGCTCAGTGCTGAAAGGGATGAGATGAGGTAGGTGTGACGGGTAGAACCGTAGCTCCACTGGCTGCCTGTGTACAAGGTCTGCTGACCCAATTTTAAAGCTGAACATCTATCTCTACTTAGGTCAGGGGAAGGGAGATCAAAACAAGACTCCCCAAAACCTTGTTCAGAAATTAAATGAAAATTTTTCCTCCCTAGTGTACCCAATTGCATTTACCATTCAGTTGTATTTTATTGGTTTTATTGTATTTTTATTGTTTTTACAGTGTATTACATAGTACTGTAGGCATTACACAGAGACCCTAAGACAGCATAGCTTTATGTTAGAGATCGTACAAATACATACAAGGAAATGCTTTTTGCTTCAAAGAACTTCAATCTACTGTTGCTTATAAATAATAAAAACAAGGGAGAGGAACAGAAAAACAAGAATAGCAGTATAACAATCACACAGCAAGTGAGCAGCATGGTCTCACTTTGATGTTGCTTATGTTGGAATGGGTCAACTTCAGCCAGAAGTCCTACACCACTCTGAAAGCTGCATCAATCAGGAGAAAAGGAAAGTAAATTCTGGGATTTCTGGGGACTAAGGAAAAGCCACAAATGCATTTTGCATCATAAAGAGAGAAAATGAGAAGTTAAAAAATTACACAGGGTGGAGAAATAAGATGCTGCCACTTGTCTAGGAAGCATTCGATAGCACACGGATGCCCTTTCTGTGAGGTGAACCTAGGTGAGCTCAGAAGGGGACTTCATAAAAGCAAATTGGAAAACAATCTTTTCAGAAGAAAAACAGGTTGTTTGAAGTCCATCAGGATGGGAAGAAAAGGGAAAAAGGAATATAATAGCACAACAATATCCAACACGAATGATGAGGGTGGACCACTAAAGACGCAGCTCAGCAGGATTAGGCTCTCCTATCCTCCTCCCCACATTTCCCACATGGTGCTCCCCAGCAAGCCTTCCCACAGGTCTGACTGCTGCTGGAGGGCTAGGAGGATGTTATCTGGAAGGACACACATGAGGTGAAGCCCAGCAAGGCCTCACATGCCTTCCTCCCGGGCAACCAGAGCCTCTGTTAGCCCACGGTTTCGCCCACAAGCACCTTCCCATCAGAAGACTGGGGAAAACACAATTTCTTGTAGGTGGCCCAAACAGCCAAGAACTGGGAATTGTCTGTGTGACTGACTCACCGGCTGCAAGAAAACAAATAATCTCTGGACTAGTTTGCTATTTCGCTGGGTGGCACGTAGCGCCACCCAAGCCACAAAGGAGTCAAACTGTCTTTCAGCTGCTGATGGGCAAAGAAGTTGCTTGGTGGACTAACTAAAGGCCTGGATGAGATGCAAGGCACCTCTTCTTGTCTGAGTTTCACTTTTGGGTTTTTTTCCCCTTTTAATTAGGTGACAATATAATGGGAGAAATATAGAGAGTCTGTATACCACAACTAGCAGCAAGTGCAATCAGCAAGATCATAGAATCATAGAATCATAAAATAGTTTGGGTTGGAAGGGACCTTTAAAGACCATCTACTCCAACCCATCTGCCGTGGGCAGGGACATCTTCAACTAAATCAGGTTGCTCAGAGCCCCGTCCAACCTGACCTGGAATGTTTCCAGGGATGGGGCATCCACCACCGCTCTGGGCAACCTGTGCCAGTGTTTCACCACCCTCAGTGTAAAAAATG